TCGACCATGTGAGAAGCTTATACCAGTTACCGATAGTCACGGTTTCGACGAGTCCATCAGGTCCAAAAAGCCACTCCTGGACTGATGAGTCCTGGGCTCTCTTGCCGCTGAACGTACGTTCCACCCAACTACTCGTGTTGTCCGTATCGATCGAAAAGCGATTCAGGGACCAGATCAGAAGTATTGGTATGATAATCCATTGCGTGGAGCGGATAAGGACAATCAGTGAAGACCGGAACCATGATCGTTCAGGGGTGGTGAGCCTCAGGAGGGAAAAGAGGAAGTAAAATGTCGCCAGGGATAGAGAGAAGGCCAAACCGCACGTCTTACCACCCACATCGAAAGCCAGTGGGATGGAGGAAACAGTGACGGTCAGGAAGAGGGCCGACGAGAGGATCCGAAAAAACCACATCGGACAATAGTATGGGGCAGGAAATCTGCCCAAGAAAGGAGGACGTGGGAGGATGAACGGACGCGAAAGTCGACAAGGTGGCTGTCCAAGCGGTAGGACCTCGGAATCTGGCGAGCGATAGGAGACCTAGCCTTTTAACAAAAAGACATCCAGCTTGACCCGAGCCAAAGACTGGACAGATAGATGGATGGATGAGATGAAACTTTTTTCTATTCTCTCCTCCCCCTTTGGTCCTAGTTCTGTAGGATAATTGATCTTATCTCCCAAGCGGGACAGGATGATGTCTTTTCACGTGGCACTGCACAAGTAATGGATGGCAGTAATAATGATAACACAATAAGGAATAGTTTGAACGGCTTGCAACGACAACAGCAAGATCTCACGAGATCTACGTAAGAAGAACTGAAAAATAATAATAAGAATAATAACATAAGAAGTGAAGATGCAGAAATTTTCTCAAAGAAAAAGAGGATTGTCTGTTCTTTGCGCTGTTTGGTTGGATACAGGCAAAATCACGAAGGGCTAACAAGAAGCTAGCGGCACTTTGCCATAGATAAAGGCGGTGGACAAAACAAAGGAGCCATGATGATTCAGCTTGGATGTCTAGTGGCGGTCAAAAGGTATACTACAAAGGGTAGAAGCGTACTTAGCAAATCTGAATATCTCGTCTCAATTCATACTTCGAGGTACTCCGTCCGTACCTTTTATTCTCATGCGACAGTTGCGATACGGCAATAGGTACGGAGTACTGATTCAGTATTGATGCCTGGCGCTATTCCTCGAATGGTTTAGTCCATGACCTACTATGTACTGGGCTTAGAAGTTACTTGCCATTTCAGGTTTAGTACTTACTGAGCTCTCCACACTCACATGCCGCGGAGAGCCCTCTGATAATAGCCCTAGTTTCTGTCCTGTTGCGGTAACTCTCCAGATAAGAAGAGATCCATACCTCTCTAGATCCTGCGCCAAGTATCATTATCGTTCAATACAGGTAGTAGTACATTGTTGAATGCTACAATTGCGACAGCTGTTCAAAATGGCCGATGAGACTGTTGCGAAGAAACTCAAGACCTCCCCTCCTTTGATCGGAACTCATAAGTACACTTTGACGCTCCTCCATATGATAATGGTATTTCCCAGAGACTGATTTTCCATCAGCGGTCATTTCCACGCCGACGAGGCCCTGGCTGTCTATCTTCTTCGCCAGCTCCCGGCCTATGCCTCCTCTCCTCTCATTCGCACCAGAGATCCGGCTCAATTGGCCACATGTCACACCGTTGTCGATGTTGGTGGAGAGTATGACCCAGCCAGCAACCGCTATGATCACCACCAGCGTACCTTTTCAACCACCTTCCCAAACCACAACACCAAACTTTCTTCCGCAGGCTTAGTGTACATGCACTTTGGTCGGGCCATCATTGCCCAACATACTTCACTCCCGCTGGATCACGAGGATGTCACTTTGCTTTATGAGAAGCTTTACACGGATTTCATTGAAGCGGTTGATGCCAACGACAATGGTGTCTCGGTCTACGACCCCGCGGCTCTGGCATCGGCCAACATTGAGAAACGTTTCAGGGACGGTGGTGTCACAATCGCTTCTGTGGTCAACGATATGAACAACCCCGACCCTACTTGCCCACCTGGAGAGCCCCAGGATGAGGATAGTCTCTTCAGCAGGGCAAGCACATTTATCGGACACGTCTTCACTCGCAAGTTGCACCATGCCTGCACTTCTTGGCTTCCAGCTCGCACGACTGTTGGAGCTGCCTACCGTTCCCGTCGTGAAGTTCATCCCTCCGGCCGTATTATCATTCTTCCTCAGGGCGGTGTCCCTTGGAAGGAGCATCTCTACAATTTCGAGAGGGAAGCCTCAGGCGCCGGTGAAATCAACCCCGACGAGCAGGTCTACTATGTGCTTTACCCCGAGAGCGCTACTGAAGGATCCAAGTGGCGCGTCCAGTGCGTTTCGGTAAATGAAGGTAGCTTCGAATCCCGCAAGCCGTTACCAGAAAGCTGGCGTGGCGTTCGTGACGCGGATCTGGATGGCTGCCTTGCTGCCGAAGCCGAGAAGGCTGGTAAGCCTAAGATCCCAGAGGGTGCAGTCTTTGTTCATGCCAGCGGCTTCATTGGTGGACATAAGACAAAGGAAGGCGCACTTGCCATGGCTGTTCGGTCATTGGAGCTATAATGTTTGATCTAAAATTGCCTGAAGAATATTGAAGCCTAGAGTTTTTGGGGCTGATCTCCGCTTACCCACGTAATTCTTAGCCTAGTACCTAGAGATACACTTGGTCCTGCTGGTCAGAAGGTTTAACATAATTTTTACAAGAACGCTTGCATCCTGAAAGACTTTTCTCCGCTTCAGTAGATTCTTTCATTAGATCACGGTTATGGGAGGTGGACAATCAGTATTGGTCAGATAATTAAGAATGCTCCAATTTGGGAAGACAACGCTCTTTAGAAGTCACGAGACATAGGAATTGCTGATCTTGTACTCCGTACGTGCAGACATTTCCACATGAGCTTCGCACGAGAATTTCACATTTCTTCTCCCTTCCTAATATTCAACGTCTCAATGAGCCAAAACTACTTTAGCTCCTGACCTGCAAGATCCCACTCAACCTTAGAAATACCCCCAGAGCCCATCAACCAAAGTGTCTTGAGTTCTGGGCCAGTCCACGCGAAGTTCTGCACGGTATAGTTGGTCTGTATCGTCAACAGAAGCTGGCCATGAGGATCGAGAACATCAACACCTCGTCCATTACCGGTCACAATGTACCCATTGGCAGCAACCTTGAGACCGTCTGGAACATATCCAGCAGACAGATAAACAGGCCGCTTGTTAGAAGCTGCGGTACCGTCTTTGCTCACGTCAAAGGCATAGATGGTTCTAAAGTCAAGGTGCACTCCGTTAGTGAGTCCAACCTTCAGTTCCTTGTCACTTCCAACTCTTACCTGGGGCCTGTGGCATTAAAAGGTGTTCCCGGGTGGCCGAATTTGGGATCAACCGGTCCGCTCACTGCGCCAGTGTCGCTGATGTACACAATTGAGTAATCCGGGTTGAATGCGATGCCATTGGGTTGACTGAGAGTGTCATCAACGACAAAAACGGCGCCAGATGTAGGGTTATATCTGTACGTAGCAGATGGAAGTTGAGGGGGAGTATCAGTGAGCTTATTAAACCATGAGTATTCTGCTAAGGGAGTCAGTCAAATGATTTTGCAACAAGTAAATCAGAAGAGACAAGAAGGAACCATACGTGGGTCCGTGAACCAAATGTCGCCCGTTTTTCCGTGCACTGCGAGATCGTCGACCGTATTGAAGTAATAACCATAATAGTTGTTGATCAAAGTGACAGTCTTGTTCGTTTCAGGGTCGAGTGTTCTCAATCCTGCCCGCTGCTCAGTGCCGCCGATCGACCGGTTACCGCCAGAGGCTCCCCAAATAACTCTGCCATTGTGGAATGTGCCCCCATTGGGTGCGTAGACCGGAGGATCAGAGAGAAATTCTGATAGCGTAGGCGGATCTTGATTCAAGTCGACCACAAGCTGCGGGAGATAGCCTGCTGGAGGGGCTAATTGAGACAAGTAGAGCTTGTTTTGCGCTGCGACATAGACCGGAGCCTCATGGACGGCATCCGAGACGGCAAACATGTACTCATACGTAGGCTGACTTCCAAGGATCTTCAGGCCTCTTTCCTTATCATAGACAACAAAGTCGGCCGATTTTATGTCATGTAATGCAGTGCCATTTGCTACTGTCGTGTCACCAAAACTTGTGGCAACCTGAGAGGTGGATATGTTCCGATAGAAATGATATCTGAAAGAGCAGTCAATTCCAGCGGTGTGACACTGGGTGTCGATACCCGCTTTGGGGGTCAAACAACGTACGGCAACACATTTGCATAATGATTGATGCACACAACCGAATGGCCACAGTCTTCGGAGATGGGATCAGTACCGCCGGTTTGCGTAAGAGCCAACCTGGCAAAAAGGAAATAACATGTCAAGGTGACCCGATACATGGTAACGCAAGGGAGTTAAATGAAGATCACTTCGAAAGGAGAACTGCGCGTTCATGGGCTTTTCCGTCATGCAACCACGAGGGTTGAGGTCATATATAAAATAGCGGAAAGATCTGTTCCCCGCCCCCACGCGGAGGAAGAAAGCATCGAAGAGTACATACGAAGGGCTAGGGTGATAGAATACCCAAAAAACCGGGGAAATACCGCCGCTTAGCTTTGAAGCTTAAGAGCTTTTGTTGAGACTGCACTGAAAAGGCAAGTGTAGTCCTCAAGCGTGGGGTGAGTGGGCAGCCTGTATAGACCTGTGGAGTAATGATCGCCCACAAGGCTTGCTCAGAGACGGCAATGATCGATTATATCCAAGAGAATAATCCTTAGCCATCGTCATTGGTAACGACGTATGAGCTTCGCATTTCAGGATTGAAGACCATTGCCCAGGGTCGGGTGCCATCCGGTCGGAGAAAGTCCGATTTGGGGGATTGTACTCCGTAGTGATTCTCGGGAAGACACAACAGCGCTGCAACATGAGGAGAAAGAATCATTGCATGAGAACAATGCAACCTAATGGCGAATGTTCAGTGAGCTAATGTCCTCAATGCACCCTGTTCCATCTCCAGCTACCTGGGCATCTTTGGCGTCAGGATGGATGTCCGCAGTCTCCTCACGTTCTCCGAGAGCTCGCTGGATAAGCTTAGCCTTGACTGTAGCGCCCTTAAGACGCTCGTCAACATCTGTGACAGCTTCTTCCGTGTTCTCCATGGGCAAAGAAGCTGGATCAACTAATTCGAGGAGAATCTCGAGGTTTTTGACCAGCCGTAAACTGGCGGGAAGAGGCAGCATCTCCTTGCATACGAATGGTTCTAAGAGAAGGTCATCCTCATTATATGGCTGAGTTTTCAGGGCATCCGTTTCATCACTCTCCTGTGACGAATGCCGAGAAAAGTCGGAATCTGCGACTCTCTGGGCCCAGACGAGAGCTTTGCCATATAGTCTTCCCAACTCAACGAACTTTTCGAAGCCCTTTTCAACGGCAAATACGCTTCCTTCGGTATAACCAGCCTGAGCACCATCAGCTGCGCCCAAACTATAGCCCTCTTGGTAGAATTCTTCTTCCAGGTCGAGGAGACCGTCAAGTAGATTTTTCTCCATGGCGAATGGACGAGCGGGATGAGACAGCGGGTAGAAAATAAGCGAAACCAGGCACAAGTCAGAGGCAAAGAAGTAAATAAAAAAGATAGTGTCGGAGACGCAGTATGATCTCTAATTTCCGAGCACCAAATAGGACAAATAAGTCACGAGTTGACTCTTGTTGATGTTCCCTTTACAAAAAAAGCCTAGATAGAAAGATAGCAGATAGAATCAGCCGGCTCCGAGCGATGAATCATCCGCACCTCTAACAAAAGACGAACATTTTCTGCCGCTCCGCAACCCCGCCATTCTTTAACCAACAACAATGGCTTCAGAAACCAAAATTCTGCCCAAGAAGGGCGAGCGAAACATTCTCATCACAAGTGCTCTGCCTTATGTCAATAATGTGCCTCACTTGGGCAACATTGTAGGTTCAGTTCTCAGTGCCGACGTCTTCGCTAGGTGTGTCTTGTGCGCCGCTCTTTGTCCCGCTGCTTGAGGCTCACCTAGGATTTGTCCAGATATCACAAAGCTTGCGGACGACAGACTCTCTATATCTGTGGAACAGATGAGTACGGCACTGCAACGGAAACGAAGGCCTTGGAGGAGAAGGTGACGCCGGAGGAGCTCTGTGCCAAATACAACAAGATTCACCAGGAGGTGTACAAGTGGTTCGAAATCGGTTTCGACCATTTCGGCCGCACTCCCACCCAGCAGCACACTGAAATCTCGCAGGCCATTTTCAAGAGGCTCTATGAGAATGGATATCTGACGGAGAAGACCGCAGAACAGCCATTCTGTGAGGCGCACGGTTCATTTTTAGCGGATCGCTATGTTGAGGGAGAGTGCCCTCGGTGCCACTACGAAGATGCTCGAGGAGATCAGTGCGACAAGTGCGGCCACCTTCTCGATCCTTTTGATCTCATCAAACCCCGCTGTAAGCTCGATGGAGCTACGCCCGTCCGCCGCTCCACGAAACATATTCATCTTCTTCTTGACAAGCTGCAGCCGGATATTGAGAAATGGGTTCTTCCCGCCATGGAGAAGGGCAACTGGCCCAAAAACTCTAGGGATATCACCAAGTCATGGTTGAAAGAAGGCTTAAAAGACCGTGGCATCACCAGAGATCTCAAATGGGGTGTTCCAGTTCCCCTCCCTGGGTTCGAGAATAAAGTGCTCTACGTGTGGTTCGAGGCCTGCATCGGCTATCCGTCGATCACGGCCAACTACACTTCAGACTGGGAGAAGTGGTGGCGCAACCCAGAGGAGGTTGAACTGTATCAGTTCCTTGGCAAGGACAATGTGCCCTTTCACAGTGTGATTTTCCCTGGGTGCGAGCTGGGAACCAAGGATAAGTGGACCATGCTGCACCATCTCAGTACCGCTGAGTATCTGAACTACGAGGGGGGCAAATTTAGCAAGTCCAGAGGAGTCGGCGTCTTCGGAAACAACGCCAAGCAGACTGGCGTACCTCCAGATGTGTGGCGGTACTACCTTTTGAAGAATCGTCCGGAGACTGGCGACACCCAGTTTGAATGGCGTGCTTTCGTCGAAAGCAACAACAGCGAACTATTGGCCAAATTGGGTAACCTGGTCAACCGTGTCGTCAAGCTGATCACAGCTTCTTATAACTCCACTATTCCCGAGTTCACCGTTCCCGAGACCTTCCAGCCAAACTTGGACGAGATCACAAGCCTCCTGCGCCAGTACATTGAAGAGATGGAAGGCGTGCATCTTCGCGCAGGTATTAGCACCGCGATGAAGCTCGCGGAGGCTGGGAACGGTCTCATCCAGGCCAACCGACTTGACAACTCCCTTATTGCCAATGAACCCGACCGGGCTGCTGCGGTCGTTGGTACCGTCACCAACTTGATCCATCTTCTCTCCAGTGTCTTTGCTCCTTACCTTCCTGCCACCTCCAAATCTATTCTTGAGCAGCTGAATGCGCCCTTTGGAGTCATTCCATCTCTCGATGAACTCAAAGACGGCTGGAAACCAGTGGCCCTGAAGGCAGGCCACAAGATTGGCAAGGCCAAGTATCTCTTCTCTCGCATCGACCCGAAGAAGGCCGATGAGTGGCGTGAGTTGTTCGGCGGATCTCAGGCAGACAGACAAAAGAAGGAGGAGGAAGCTGCCAAGGCTGCTGCAAAGAAGGCAGCCAACAAAGCAAGCAAATTGAAGAAGAAAGAGAAAAAAGCGGCAGAGGCAGCTGACACTAGTGTTGAGGCTTCTGCCAAGGGAGGTGCAGAGGCGACTGATATCACTACCGAGGGAAAGAACGATGAAGCGGTTGAGAAGGTTGTCGATGGCATGGCCCAGGTCACAATCCCAACATCGTGAGCTCTCATTCATTATTAAATGGATTCTGAGAGATTTTACGCCCGAAAAGGCTTGAAAAGCCCGGAAGAGGCCGTCTCACATGATATTGAAAGCTATTGTGGTGGTTGGAGCGTTTTGGGTTCTCGATTCCCTCATGGTGTTTTTGAGATGATCGACTGGCATGAGATATGATGTAGGAGAAATGACAATTACTAAATTCCATTGACGATACCCTTCGCCGAGTAGATTATTGACTTCAATTTGTTTTATGGGCAGTAGTTCCAGTGTGTTGTTGTACTCCGTAGGCATCAGAGGTCTAGGCAGTATGCTTTTGCACGGAGGACAGTCTTCCATGGCATCTGCCTACCGCGAGTATCCTTGGGAATATATCAAATCACAATCTACCCGGTAGTAACTGACTTGCACTATCGTTGCCTTTCGTTCCATCAGACAAGATATCAAGTCGCTCAATTTTTGGTAAACGGCGTTTGACTGCCTTTCTCGAGCTTGGGGTGTTTCTATCTTATGGGAAGGCGGTGTGGTTGGTGCCTGAGGATTTTGCCAACCTCTAATCAATGCCTTAAGTCTCAGGTCCCAAAACTGAAGGTACTTACACTTGACTTGTGTACACCGCGTCAGGACTTGTCTCATACCCTGCTTTTTCTCCTAGTTCAGCCCTGGTTGTCTATTTTAAACTATACAAAGAGTCTGTTGCACCGGGAGTCTAAACCACTTTCGTTTTTTATCCTTCGTGTGCCTCATAATCTGGGTTCATTCGTTGTTCACCACATACCGCGCAAGCCACGACCAAAGAAAACAGAAGCGAAAAAGCTCTCCCGTTCGAATGTCGCTCTTCGGGAACGTCGGCGCTACGTCGACGACAGCCGGTCAAACAAACACCACAGGCGATGTCTCCAAAGATGTAGCTCTCAACTCGCCGCCCGAAGATGGCATCTCTGATCTTCGATTTTCTCCCGCAAGCGAACATCTCGCGGTAGCTTCGTGGGACAAGAAGGTCCGCATCTACGAGATCAACGAACAGGGTCAGAGTGAGGGAAAAGCTCTTTTCGAACATGAAGCTCCAGTCTTAAATTGTTGCTGGTCACCGGTAAAGTTTCTACATCTCGTCATGTGTTTTTTTGTCTGTCCCGCTAATCTTTGTGCTTTTGGCTAGGATGGAACGAAAGTTGTCGGAGCTGGCGCCGACAAAGCTGCACGCATGCTGGACCTCGCAGCCAATGCTACTACTCCCGTTCAAGTCGCTGCCCACGATGCTCCTATCCGATGCTGTCATATGATTCCCAACCCGGCTGGAAACTCTTCTCTTCTTGTAACTGGTTCATGGGACAAGACCGTCAAATACTGGGACTTGCGGCAATCCACCCCCATTGCGACAGTGGAGTGTCAGGAGCGCGTCTACACCATGGATGTCAAGAACAAGCTGCTAGTGGTGGGAACGGCAGACCGATACATTAACATCATCAATCTCGACAATCCCACCAAGTTTTATAAGACCATGCAGTCACCGCTCAAGTGGCAGACGCGGGTAGTCAGCTGCTTCACGGATGCCACTGGTTTCGCTGTCGGCAGTATCGAAGGACGTTGCGCCATTCAATATGTTGAAGACAAGGACTCTAGTTCCAACTTCAGCTTCAAGTGTCATCGGGAAACTCCTCCGAACCAACGAGATATCAACAATATCTACTCTGTGAATGCCATTTCCTTCCATCCGGTCCACGGCACCTTCAGCACCGCAGGCAGTGACGGTACCTTCCACTTCTGGGACAAGGATGCCAAACATCGTCTGAAGGGATACCCGTCTGTGGGAGGAACGATCTCCAGCACCGCCTTCAACCGCAATGGCAACATCTTTGCATATGCCGTCAGCTACGATTGGAGTAAAGGATATTCAGCGAACACGCAACAACTTCCCAACAAGGTGATGCTCCATCCAGTGGCGCCAGAGGAAGTGAAGCCAAGACCTGGTACCCGGAAGAGGTAGAGGGGAGGCAAAACCGGCGTGTTCGATGATGATAATCTGGGAGGAGACAACCGGGCCTGGCTTGATCTTGAGTAGACGGCCAATCATGAGCCCTTGGTATATGGCGATCGTCTCTGGTGGGTAGTCTTGGGCGTTTTCAACCGGACGCTGTGAATTCTCTGAACGTTCTTTTTCTCTCTGTTTTATTCGTGTCTTTCCCCCGTGTATCATTTCTGGGAATGCATATGAGCGAATCGTCATTTCTTTTTTTCTTCTGGGATGGGGTTTTCTTTTTCTATTAACTCGGAATGACCGGGGAGAGTAGATCATCTTGCGTCAAGATCGGTGTCTTCCAATGTCGAAAAAGGGTTCAGGCACAAAACCTACAACGAAGAAGAAAAGGAAGCCACGCTACTGAGAATATTATTATGATAATTTTGAGCAACCAATACCTCATTGACCTGATGATAGGTTGTAGAATTGTAGTGTCGCACTCGTTAAAAGTGCGATTACGATAGTAATAGAACAGCTTGAAGTCAATGCCTGTGATCTAGGCCTCCTGTTATGTTGAAAAGCAACCTGAACGCTGTGATTCGCATTTATTGTTTTAGGATTATTTGTCCAACTTTCTCAAGTGTGTAAGCCTCAATTGGCCCGTGGTGGCTTCGATGTCGAAACTTCCAGATGATGGCGCTGTTGGGGCCGAAGGCAGCAGATGGATGGGACTTGTGTGATATCCCAAGTGCATTGCTCCCTTCTCAGTTTCCTTTTTTCTTCTGAGTAGGGAGGTAAATCCGGTAAAAACGATTACTCGCACTCGATTGAGAAGGAGACGAGCGCAGGCATATGGAAGGATGGATACGTGTCTGCGCTAGGGCAATCGGCATTGCATGATCAAGTCGAACCACACTGTGAGACTTATTTGGCCACGATCCTTGCGGGAACCTGGGACCGAGTCTGGCTCCAACGATGGATTTGCCAGCGTTAAATGCCCTTCTTGATGAATTAATAGTGGATAATAACTTCAACAGAAGGTATGCATTTCGGCATGGTGGACTCGGGCGGCCCATGTTGCGGGGAAGCCCAAGCTCCCTCTTAGAGTTCCCCACATTCTTGGCTCGCGAGTTCGATGGGAGGCCGTTACGCACTAATAAATGACCCGAGCAGCGTTACCTTAGAACTTCGAAGCTCGCTAGAAGGCAGACTGGTTTGAGCGATGACATACCGTATCAATAGGCATAGAAGTGCCGCCGTCTATAGAGAGTAACGCGATGACGGAGTCGTCTTCAGACAGTGTCAGGCAGCGTGTCACATTGTGGAGTCGAGGCTGCAGAGTTTGCGGTTTGAAGCAAGGAATCGCCGAATGCTCTTCAGTTGACCCTATTCCTCCCTTTCTTTTCTGTGATATGTTATGGCTCTCTCAGAGCATTTCTCACGTCGAAAAGGATGTGGTGAGAGAGAGCCCCTGCATTCTCCGCTGGTGCTCTTTGAATGTAAATTCAGGCGAGCGATGTCGTTGATCTTTCTCTATCAGCTCACGCGAACGCTGATTTGAATAAATAGCATATTCATATGATGTGTTTCACTTCATATGATGGCCGGACATTGATGTTTTAAACTTCAGAGTTCAAGAGAAGAAAAGGATGACCGTTAGTCTAGACTCCAAAGAGAGGTATTTCCCACCACTTGGCCTTGTCTCTCACCACAAGAATCACTCAATAATAGAGAGACTACCTAGTATGAACCCCGCTCTTGTGAACATAAGCCACCGAGTTATTACCGGGCTACTCCTGTACCTTGCAAGATAAGTTGTATTTTGAAAGGTAAGGTTCGCAATGTTTATAGTGATAATGTGACTCTTATTATTACAATAATAATATCAGAGAGAAGGTAAGAGAACATATGATACATCAGCTCAGAGGACTCCATCTACCAAGTTGGATTTGTACATTGCACATCACAGGCATCACACCACCCTTGGCCATACTCAAAACTGAGATCCACTCTCGATTCTGACCATGACAATAGATGGGTTTAGAGAAGTGTTAGCTGATCCAGTCAATGTTGCTAGTTTCAAATTTCAATATCAGACAATAAAGAGACTGAACTGACTGATCAGGAGACAAAATGTAGATCATCACGTGAGCAAGTTTGTTTCAGTTCAACTTGGTATTATTGACCACCCCAATACCTGACCCTCAGGAGCCATTGATGCTCAAATCGGAATAGAACTGTCGATCCATGGAAACACGCAACTCCCATACGAGGTAAGGAGATATTGTAGTGGCTGATGAGTGGTGGATTCGAGCTTCGACTGCCGCACGTGAGGTCATTCTGACCCCGGACGAGGCTTGGATTGGCATTGTTCATTTGGTGTTTCGGGATCCCTAGTCCAAGCCTACCTTACCTTTTTTTCGAGTGGTGTCGTCATGACTCAATATCTAGGTAGGTACGTACTTGCAATTAGGTATTTGACAGATACACTTTACTAGCTAGATGTTCATCCAATGACTTTTCTCGTGGTATAATAACTTACTGATGATCGAGGATTCAGGTAGGTAGTACCTTAGATACGACTGCATACTGTATACAACTGTGTACTTTGGTAGAGTCATACGCCAAGTGGAGCGCGGGAATGCGGGGTGCAGCCTTAGAGTTGACAGTCAATATGACTAGGCAGTGGATACCGCCCACCAGAGCTCTTAGAAACGTCAAGCTCGCGTGTGATCCGGTTATCCCGGGGAAGCGATCATACTAGTATTCGGGGTCCTGTTGATGATGATGATGATTGTGATAATTATGAGGAGGAGACATTGTACCGAGTTTCAAAATCCATGACTTTCTCCAGAAGAGAGAGAGAGTATATCGTCTAGGTATCGGATTTGGAACAGCAATACTAATGATCAACTGATGATGGATGGATAGGTACACGACACGAACTAACGACACTAGATGCGGAGATCCCATAGTATGCATCTATACATAGCTACAACAAGTCCATACAATCCTTGTGTCATCATTTCCCCTTCCTCTTCAGCCAGTTCTACGATGTATATTGCGAGGTAGACCACATGAGTTGCGGATATACAGATAAACTGATAGGTACCCTTCGGATGCGATGAAATCATCTTGCGCAATCAGCCAACCAACATTCGGAGCTCATCATGCGATGCCCTTCTGGAAGCAGGAAGATTGGCCCATCCTCTCTTCATAGTCCAGCTACCTACCTTAGGTAAGAGGTATACTCGATCTAGAGGCTTCGACCCCGCTCCAGCTTCCAAAGGTCATTGACTCAACTCAATATGCACGCATGGTAAGTTATGTTTCCAAACAGTGGGTCCATCATCATCATCATCATCATTAATGTTCGACAACTGGAGGATGCACTCACTACTGTACAACCTTAGCCTTATTAAGCACAAACACTTCAGGACCAGAGGATGGATGTAGATGTACCTAAGATAGCTACCTAGGTAAGGTAGGTAGGTAGGTAAGTAGGTAGCTGGCTAGAATGCCTCCATATGGTGAATAAGGTAAGTACCTACTTGGTAGAGTCGTACAGCCCATTCCGTGGGAAAGATACAGGGGAGGTACGTACATCCATCTTCCCACTCCCGATGATGCTGAGCTCATTTATCCATGATTCGATCTCCTCATTCCTCCTTTGGTAGAACCACTCAGCTCCCCCTCAAGGACTCAAGGTCACCTGCCTCTTCCCCCTCTCGCCCATCTTCCCATCCTTTTCCTCCCCCTCCCCTTCTCTTTCTTCCTCTTCTTTCCCTCCTCTCCCTTTCCATCCATTGATTCTCTCTGGATTCCATCCGTAACCATCATCAATTTGTCCAACTGTCTGGTAAGCTTTCTTCGTTCCTGCATTTCTCCCCTTCCCGTCCTATCAGCTGTCCATCCCTCCCTTCCCCTCCATCAACAGTCCCGTTCGTCGGCGTTGCAATATCCTTGCAGTCTATCCCGTGGTCATGTAGCAAGAAGCTAATCCAGGAGCATCGATTGTCTCTTAGAACCATTCTCAGTTCCCAACTACTTGTCTCTTTTTTGCTTCTCTTTCCACAAACAAGCCTACTCAATCCCCAGTATCATCAGTTGCAACCATGTCTGTTGAACTCACCAAGGTCGACTCTGCCATCGCCGGCTTGTCAATATCGCCTAAGGACGAAAAGGCCCCGGATAAGGCAGAAAAGAAGTCTCACAAACGCACTGCATCCCAAACGGAAGGTGTCTGGAACATCAAAGACCTTGGTAAGTCTCTATCTCGATGTGTTACTTGAAGTAGCCAAGTCAGCCGTGCTTTGCTTGCACACATGAGTGTCTGCAGTAAGCTTATACTCTCGGGTGTAGAGGCACAAAAGATCGAGTTGTCATTGCCCATCGAGACACAAAAGACCGGATGGTAAGTGTGACTCCACCTGCGGTAACGGGGTTTGAGTCAAACCAAGCTCATGCCTCGGTACAGGAAGCTCAACACGTCTCCGAGCACCATCGAGGACAAGGACATTCTCAAGATGTACCTGGTGAACCCACCGGTCAAGAAGATTGACCTGGTATGGCCATTGGGTCTGTCAGTCACTGCTCGTAACCTCAAGGGTGTCACAGTCAAAGATGCGCTGGACGCAATCTACAAGCAATTCAAGAAGAAGGCATGCCTCTCTACTCACATTTCCATTGCCTTAATACCATCCGTGCTAACCGGTCCCTCTTAGGCCGATGATGAACTGGATAAGCCCTACCTCGCTGGCTTCGAGTGGGACAAGGAGGAGTGCTGGACACGCCTCATCGTTCATCAGACCAAGAACGGCCCACCCGCAGCACCCAGCAAGAAGTCCAAGAAGAAGAAGGACGAGGCATAGATACCTCGTTTATCGTAGCCATCATCATGGCGAGGTCTGGATACCTTCTCCTCTCTTCTCTTCTTTCGACAACTTCGCCTAATCATTCACAATGGCCAATGCACCTCTATCTCGCGTCTCGCTTCCCTGCATTTCTTTTTAAGGGCGGGTTCAAGA